AAACACGTCGCTACTGACAACACCTTGTTATTATTCCACCATGAGTTGATGTATTGTCTATTTGGTTGCTTAAAAAGTTGCCGGAAAGAATAAACAAATTATTTTTTTTCATATGCGGAAAAGAGAAGAATAAAATCAATTTGCCTTTTTTCTTTTTTAGTTGAAATAATGTATGTATCCATAGGTACTCAAGAATACAATTAAAAACAAAAAAATAAATAAAACTTAAATCGCGCCTCTCTTTAAGTTTTCTTTTTTAAACTAAACGCAGCTGCCACTCACCTTGAGCGATGCCATGTCCGATACACTGCGATGTGTCTGTATGGTCTCCAGCTGATCCAAACACCAATCCAACTCCTCGATTGTGTCTGTAGCCAAGCGGGTGTAGGATTCATCGCCCTGAACCAATTGAACGCCGGCAGCGGCTGCTGCACGTCCCACGCTGGACGATTGTGTTGGCCGCCTGGATCTTTTCGTATTAATTATTTGTTCCAAAGACAAGAGACACACACACACACAGACAAAGATACACACACACACACACACGAGGACACATGCAGACAAAAACCCAGGCACAAGCACGTGCATACAAATTGACGCATGGAAAATGTATGGATAAAATAATAACAAACAAAAAAAAATAGTACGGACAAATGGAGAAAGCAAGCACAAAACATGGCATGGCAAAGTCAATGGCAACAACAACAACAATAACAGCAATGCAACAAAAAGCGAAAGTCATAAAAGAATACATTTTAATTTAAAGAAATTCAAAATTTTGATCAACACATTTTGTTGTGATCAAAAGCGCCAGGAATTTAGGATAAGTGGAGAATAAAAATTAGTAGCAAAGGTTGTTGATTAAATATTTAGTAGTGAAAGCAAATAACAAATAGCAGAAGCGGCATTTTTTGGAAAGTTGACAATTTACATGTTGATAGTAATGTCCGCGTTTATTGTTGTTGTTGCAGTGTATGGCATTTGTGATTTGTAGTTATTTTTAGAAAATTTTGTTTTGTTGAACGTTTCGTTTTATTTATTTTTGGTTTTTGTTCACATAAAAGTGAGTTTTTCCATTTTTTTTTTGTTTTTCGATTTTACCAAAATATTTTCGCGATTAGACATTTACAAATGATTCAAAGANTGTTGCAGTGTATGGCATTTGTGATTTGTAGTTATTTTTAGAAAATTTTGTTTTGTTGAACGTTTCGTTTTATTTATTTTTGGTTTTTGTTCACATAAAAGTGAGTTTTTCCATTTTTTTTTTGTTTTTCGATTTTACCAAAATATTTTCGCGATTAGACATTTACAAATGATTCAAAGATACACATACGTAAAAATATTCGAATAAATGATTGCAATGTTTTTTTTTTGTACATATAGCATGAAAATACATATTTTTTTGTTGACATCAAAATGCGGGAGGGTTCAAAAAGGAAGAGAAAGAGAAAAAGACAGAGAGAAAAAAATGTATATATCAAATAAACTAGGTAAATATTTGTTTTTTTTTTTTTAAATCTTGGTGTGTACAACATTAATACTTTTATAAATTTTATACGGAAATATGGGGTATATTTTTTTAGTTACAAATACTAATAAAGTATTTCGACCCAAATGGAATACACAATAATCGGTTCGAGAGTGGGAGGATGTGTTAAACGACGACCGTCAAAAAGTGGGGTTACATTTAGAAAAATTGTTACGAAAATATTTATACGAGTATGCAGTGGGGGTTACACATTCGATTTACATATGTAGCTGTTGTTAATATGCAGCTGTAATTGCGACTTAAGTAAGTGTGATGTGTGCTTTGGCAGTGAAGCAAATCTGTGAATATTCGTTTAAAAAGATTAATTGTGCTTAAATCAAAAAAATTTCAGGCAGTTTTTCGCCTGTTTTCTATAGATACCTACGGTATTGGTTATAGTTACAGTGTCATGGTTATGGCTAAGGTATGACACCACTAATTGGGCCTTTAATCGGCATATATATATGCATGGATTTTAAAGTTTCAAACAATTTTTAGCACAGTTTGTAAATGACAAAAATTTATGTCTACATGGTTTTCACTTCCAAGCATTCGTTTACTATAAATTCTTTTTATTTGGCATCTAATTGTTCTTTAGTTTTTTGCTCCACTGTCGCACACACCTACACTTCCGTCTTCCTCATTTTGTGAACATAAGTAAATTTTTGTAATTGTTTGTTATGACATATTTTAATAAAATCAGTTTAAATGTGAGTGAAGTTATATGAAAATCAAATTCTTCAAATATTTTGCAAAATGTAATATTAGCATTATTAGGAAGTTAACACAGGGGATTAGTAAAAAAAAAAACACTTCATAATATTAAACTTTGTTAGAAAATGTTAAAACATTTATGCACCAAAGAAGGTAAACAAATGGTATGTGTGTGTTGTGTGCTTTTAGTTGCACGCATACTTACTTATTAGATGCTTGCACATTTGTCAGACTTAAAAGATTATTGCGCACCGAGCGTAAGCTGGCCAAAATTTGGGCAAATGGTGTTACAATAAGATCCTCGCCATGGCTGTAAGAAAATTGGAAAATGGGAAATTTTATATTAATTAAATAATAGAAATTTTAAACACATATGTACATAGATTAAGTGCTTAATACATGTAAATTTTTTTTAAATAAATATAAATTAGAATAAAAATTCACTAACTGGTGCGTAATCGAGTGCAAAATAATTTATTGCTATGTGCTGGCATAACAACATATTTTCGTGCATTATCTGGTATTTTTAGCGGAGAGTTTGAAAAAATGCAAGTGCTCAAAGCAAAGAAAATATATATATATGTATGTAGAAATATGCATTAATATTATCTAGTATCTACAGTGGCGGTCCAAAGTGGAAGAATGGTGTTTCGGTTTTAATATTTATAATGTTTTTCAAGCTAACATTTTTATGATATTTTTTATAAAAATATGGTTAATGCATTAACCCAAACCGCATAGATCACACTTTCAAGCTTTATACAGAATTAAAAAAACTTTCAAAAATTTGTATCTAAATTTCGAGCTTTTTAACCGCAATTTTTTTTTTAATTTTTTGAGTAGGCAGTTAACAGGCTTATAAAATTTTCGTAAAATAATTGCAAGTTTTGAGCGGCTACATAATGGCATTGATTTTTTAATAATTTTTTTTTTTGTTGACAGCGTTTTGCACTTTTTTCTATATAAATATGAATTTCTTGTGGAAGAATATGCGCAAGACCGTTTGCGAAAAAAATAAAAAAAGTCAACGACAGTTTTCCTAAATTTCGCTATTTATATGAAAAAACAGCGCAAAAGTCGTGAGCAAAAAAAAAAAAGAAAAACTCAACTCAAAACTTGCACTTATTTTATTAAATTTTTATAAGCCCGTTAACTGCATACCCAAAAAATTTATAAAAATTCTGGTTAGAATTTAGATAAAAATTTGTGGAATTTTCATAAATTCTGTATAAGGTTTGAAAGTATGATTTAAATGGGGTTTATTAAACCATAAACGGTATCTTTATAAAGAAAATTAAAAAAAATTTAGCTGGCAAAACATTGTAGAAATTAAAAGCAAAACACCATTCATCCACTTTTGACCGCCACTGTATGTATTGAGATATATACAAGTGTAAAGCTGATATACACATACTTAGGTTCTTATCACTTATTTATACTCTTCCACATTAATGCCATAATAAGTTCTTTTTTCGTTTAATTATTATATATTTATATATTTTTATATATTTTAATTTTTTTAATGGTACATGCTTTTCATAATACCTACATTCGTTTCAAAATGTTCAAAATGCCTACGTGTGGTATTAATTGAAAGTTTTCCATTTGTCATAAGAAACAAAAAATTTCTTGTGAACTTTTATATCTGTCAACATACTTAAGTATATACTACAAATATAAGTTATATTAAAAATTTGAGTTAATATACCGCTGAAGAACATGTGCGATGAAATTAGAATTTTAATGATGCCAAACCAAAAAATAGATTCCCACTAATTTTATTCGCTTGTCATCAGAAATATTTGCGTAAACATTTTTGTATACATATACAAGTATATGAATCTATGTAGGCACATTTACCTTCTTTTATGAATGCATAAATCAATAAAATTCTAGATTTTTTCAATTTTATCTCGCCGCAATTTCTTCCTTTTCACAAAAGAACAATCTAAATGCGACATAATTTCCATTAATTGATACCTATCTTTGCATTATAAACAAGAGCGTGAACCAACCACAAATACCGCACAAAATTTTCAAGCTGAACTGATTATATTTGGATGAAGACTTAGGGCTTGGAGGACAGCGGGCCACGCAACCGTTTTTCAGTCGGAAACTTCTACTGCCATTGAGGCATTCAAAAATACATACACAAAATCGCAGGTGTACATTCTCTCAGTTAGTAAGGCGGAGAACTGTAGGAGAGAGAGTTAGAAGAGCATAGTGGCTGATTCAGAAAGCCTTTCTTTAGAGGTTCGTCGAACAATTTTTTTCAGGGAATTTATGTGTATGTATACACATATGTACATATATAGGTATCATTAAAATTTTGATTATGTTTTTGTTTGTGGCTCTTATTTTTTAGCATTTTCTTTTGATCAGCATATGGAGCATTCCATCGTTGGTACGGGACAAATCGTACGACTTATTGCAGTTTACGCTTGTAATTAAAGGCAAAGTAAAAAAATTATAAAACAAAGTATCTAGCAGTAAATTAATTTTTATGGCAAAGTAATAACCGAAAACAGAAACTTTGTTTGTTTGAAATATTAGGGTATGCACAAACAATCCAAAACTATTCGCCTGTCTAGTGTTATGGAAAATTTCAGCGATATTAATGATAATTAAAAAAAAAAAAACAAAAAAAAAATCGTTTAGTAGCACTAACATCAATGTCAAATCAAACTGCAAAAGTTTTAAGAATAGATTTATTTCAAACAAGTTTAAATCAGTTTTATAAATTAAGATTTACGCCACTTTTATAAATAATTGATGATGTTGAGACTATTTTAAGTATACATAATTTATGTATGTCGTTTCACGCCCATTCATTGATAATTCATCAAATTCGAATAGTCCCATCGATTTCTCTAAAATATATTTAAAGTAAAAACTCGATTTATGTGCTAATTTTATATTTAAAATCCATTTCCACTGAAAAATTCGTTCAGAAAAGTTATTAATTTGGCGACGAAAATATACCGTTTTTCGTGGAATGCTCGATATATGCATATTATTTTAGCCTTTCTGCTACGTGCCTTAAATCACGGCGATATCGATACACTTACACATAGGTACCAAACGCTCACTCATCCACTTGGCCTATATAGCATCATAGTATTTTTCAATCTGCTGCCATGGACTGGACACTACTTGTAGTTATATTTCGAAAGCATTTTTTTTTGCTTTCTTACGACAAGAGTTGATTATTAATAATCACACAGCTTTTGTTCTTTAAGATTTCTAGCTATGTATGTATGGTTTTATAAATTTATTAGCAGTCTCTGCTTGCTGTCTCTTAGCTACCCAGTATATGGCTGGCAGGTAGGTAATTATAGTACAATAGTATATAGTACTATAGTAACAAAGTTATTTTTTGCGTGCTATTTTACGCCTTTTTTTAATTACTTCCAGAATATTGTGGTATTTTTATATGCAGGGTCATTAACAGCACAGCATGTGATTGTAATTTGTTTCTTCAGGACGCTGGTAAAGCATTTGGTCTACATTCACATGTATGTATGTATTATCGTATGTACATATATTTTTTGCATATCAAAAAAGTAATAATGAGGAATTTAGTAACGCTGTTGATTGCTTANATCAGAAATATTTGCGTAAACATTTTTGTATACATATACAAGTATATGAATCTATGTAGGCACATTTACCTTCTTTTATGAATGCATAAATCAATAAAATTCTAGATTTTTTCAATTTTATCTCGCCGCAATTTCTTCCTTTTCACAAAAGAACAATCTAAATGCGACATAATTTCCATTAATTGATACCTATCTTTGCATTATAAACAAGAGCGTGAACCAACCACAAATACCGCACAAAATTTTCAAGCTGAACTGATTATATTTGGATGAAGACTTAGGGCTTGGAGGACAGCGGGCCACGCAACCGTTTTTCAGTCGGAAACTTCTACTGCCATTGAGGCATTCAAAAATACATACACAAAATCGCAGGTGTACATTTTCTCAGTTAGTAAGGTGGAGAACTGTAGGAGAGAGAGTTAGAAGAGCATAGTGGCTGATTCAGAAAGCCTTTCTTTAGAGGTTCGTCGCACAATTTTTTTTGCAGGGAATTTATGTGTATGTATACACATATGTACATATATAGGTATCATTAAAATTTTGATTATGTTTTTTTTTGTGGCTCTTATTTTTTAGCATTTTCTTTTGATCTACATATGGAGCATTCCATCGTTGGTACGGGACAAATCGTACGACTTATCTCACTTTACGCTTGTAATTAAAGGCAAAGTAAAAAAATTATAAAACAAAGTATTTAGTAGTACATTATTTTTTATGGCAAAGTAATAACCGAAAACAGAAACTTTGTTTGTTTGAAATATTAGGGTATGCACAAACAATCCAAAACTATTCGCCTGTCTAGTGTTATTAAATATTTCAGCGACATTAATGATAATTAAAAAAAAAGCAAAAAAAAATCGTTTAGTAGCACTAACATCAATGTTAAATCAAACTGCAAAAAGTTTCAAGAATAGATTTATTTCAAAAAAGTTTAAATCAGTTTTATAAATTAAGATTTTCGCCACTTTTATAAATAATTGATGATGTTGAGGCTGTCTTAAGTATAATTTATACATGTCGTTTCACGCCCATTCACTGATAATTCGTGAAACTCAAATATTCCGATCGATTTCTCTGTTTATTTATGTGTTTAAAATATATTTAAAGTAAACAATCGATTTATGTGCTAATTTTATATTTAAAGTACATTTGCGTTGAAAAATTCGTTCAGAAAAGTTATTAATTTGGCGACGAAAATATACCTTTTTTCGTGGAATGCTCGATATACACATGCATATTATTTTAGCCTTTCTGCTACGTGCCTTAAATCACGGCGATATCGATGTTACAAAAATACACACTTACACATAGGTACCAAACGCTCACTCATCCACTTGGCCTATATAGCATCATAGTATTTTTCAATCTGCTGCCATGGACTGGACACTACTTGTATATTTCGAAAGCATTTTTTTTTTTTGCTTTCTTACACCAAGAGTTGATTATTAATAATCACACAGCTTTTGTTCTTTAAGATTTCTAGCTATGTATGTATGGTTTTATAAATTTATTAGCAGTCTCTGCTTGCCGTCTCTTAGCTACCCAGTATATGTATGGCAGGCAGGTAATTATAGTACAATAGTATATAGTACTATAGTAACAAAGTTATTTTTTTGCGTGCTAATTTACGCCTTTTTTAAATGACTTCCAGAATCTTGTGGTATTTTTATATGCAGAGTCATTAACAGCACAGCATGTGATTGTAATTTGTTTCTTCAGGACGCTGGTATAGCATTTGGTCCACATGCACATGTACATATGTATATCCTATCGTATGTACATATATTTGCATATCAAAAAAGTAATAATGAGGAATTTAGTAACGCTGTTGATTGCTTGTTTTTTTTTGTGTGAAGCTGAATTGAATATTTAATTGCTGCCCACTGACAACAGCAGTCAATCTGAGTCTTTAGCTGTGAGTGATTTGTGCTGCTAGCTCAGTGAGCAGCGTTCACTTTCATCACTTATCTGCGCATTGCACATTTCACAGCTGCTTGCTTAAAGGGGCACAGCTGATTGTCTTTGTGTGAACGATGTGCGCCAATGAATGCGGAAAAATTCCATTGGCAGCTTTAACTGTCAGATTTTTTTGTTCCATCTGAAAAAAAAAAATACGCGACATGTATTTATGAATTTATTACTCTGCTCATATGTTTTACAGAAAAGATTTTTCCTGCAAAAGCCATAAAACAGTCTGCTTATGAGATCATAATTTTTTCTTAAGCTTTCACTATGGTTATATCAAAAAGCATCATCAATTTTTTTTAATTTTAATTACAGCCACTGTCAGTGCCATTAACGCAAAGGTCAATTACCCAGCCACTCAGACCTAGACGCATACGCGCTGGACAACAATGAAACGGAAATATGGGCACTGACTTTTCCGGCATATTGAAACTGTCAATGGTGAGGCGTAGAAGAACTGAAAATCACAGATCTGTATAGTATTATTTTAAATGCTTTCATACTTATATGTAAGCACATATTTCTGCGTATTCAGGTGGGTATATCATCAACTCAGTGCTGTTCACCAGCATACATATATTAATCTGTATGAATTTGAATAAAATATGCTCTGGTATTTACTTGCATAGGTGTGTGAACATACATATTTTCCTCAATTCAATAAATAAATAAAAAATGAAAACATAAAATTAATTTAGTTTATCGCATGACGTCATTAGCAGATGTCAAGAGCTAGCTATAGACTAGCGGCGGTTGCTATGCCTTTTCACTCGACACATCCTCACTCATGAATGCCAAAATCAGCCGCTCTCATTCGCATGAGTGGGCCATTGGCTACTCTAAATAAGCAGCGAGTCACATTTTCTTTACATTTGTATGTTTAAATTTTTGTCTAATAATTTTTCACGATGATACATACAGATATATGTACAAACAAATATACTTATGTATTAGCTATTTTTAGACAAATGTCCTCAAACAGCAGCAGCAACAGCAACATTTAATAATATTTTTTATGTCCGCAAGCGTTTAATATGTATGTTTGTATCTTGTACTAACTTTAGTGATTGCTTGCGATTTCTGACTTAATTTTTCTTCTTATGTATTTTGAATTCCATACATACATATTTCTTTTGTTCACACATTCACACGGCATTCAGTTTCCATGCCGTCACATTGGCTTATTTGGAGGTGTGACCGGCCATCCATCTCAGCAGCAGCTTTTATCTGCATATTGTGTAAGCGTGTGCCGTCAGTGAAATAGCAAAGCATATGATCGCTTTCGTTGGCGCTTACGTTTGACGTCATAATCACGAGTTGACCAGGTAATCTCTGGGGACTATTGATTGCATATTTCAAATGCTTTGTATGTTTACCAGCTACATACGTATACATATATTTATTCTCTCAGCACGCTGGCGCTGACGAAATTATTTTAGAACAATTGAAATTCATTAAGTGTAGATTATGTCAGAGACGCGTATATATGTATATATATATGTGGGTATGCACTTATGTACATATATGCGCATGACTGGATGTATGTGTTTATGCGAGCAGGTGAGTGCTTGATGAATGTGCCTTAAATTACTATGTGCATTAGCATTAGAATAGAGCAACAATTTCATAAATGCGTGATTAGTGTAAAATTAATCAGTCTATTTTCCAGGGAAAACACTTGGTCCATTAGCAAATACCCCTTTATATACATGGTATGTACATACATACTAACAAATGTATGCACTTATATTCAACCTCGGTTAAGAGGCGTTAAGTGCTCTTATAAGTGAATAATAAATTCTAAGCGGCAACATTTGTGAAAAAATCTCGTTGGATATCTTCATAAGGGACAATTTAGCAAACAGGCAGGGCAGGGACCGGACATAACAGTTATTGATGAAAACTGCCATGGAAAAATTCACTATGAAGGAAAATTTCCTTAGGAAATGTTCTAAAACTAAATGATACATACCAGTAGATTTCTTTTTTCACCGAGACTCAAATTTGAAAATAAATTTTCATTTGAAATTTTTATGCAAAATTAAAAAAAATAAAAATTATTTTTGGTTTTTATATTACAGATCCAAATTAACAGTTATTTTTTTTTTATTATATGTCTTAGATTGCAGTTAATGAATACTTTTATTTATAATCAGTCAGTGACTTTTACTTTTAAAAGTCATCAATATAAATCAGTCACCGACTTTTATTTTTTAAATCATTCGTATGAAAGTCATTAATATTTTTCGCATTGGGGAAAAAAGTTTATACGACTTATACAAATGAATTTATAAGAATGATTTAAAAAATAAAGTTCAGTGACCGATTTTTATTTATGACTTTTATAAATAAAAGTCTTCCATAACTGTTATCTATGACTTTTAATTTAAAAATCAAAACTAGTTGCTGTTTGCAGATTATTAAAATAAAAATCAAAAATAATTGCTATTTTGGATTTATAAAATAAAGGTCAGAAATAGTGGTAATTTAAGGGGTAATTAAATAAAAGTCTAAAAATAATTGTTAAAGAGCGATGTTTTTTAATAAAAGTTATAACTGTTACGGTCCCTGGTTTTTGGCCCTCATGAATAAAAATTTTTCTCAAAGTTCCAGACCTTAAATGTACAGGATAAAGTACTGATGATAAAAGTATTAAGAGTTACTTTTATCTAACGAAATACTGCGTACAAAAATACTCAACATTTTTGGCTTCAATAAAATGTCTTGATACCCAGAGTTTACGATATATTACCGAAAATACCAAAAGCATCCCGAAACTCTGAAACGTTTTAAAGGACACCCCGAAAAATATAACACGAAGAACCTCAAAAGGGGTCCTGAAAAATTAAGCACAAGTTCCGATAAAAGCTTCAAAATTATTAAAAACTTCCGAAAAGTAAAACACGATGGCCCGAAAAAATTCAGAGGAAAACTTGAAAAATTACGAAATATCTGAAAAATAGAAGCACAGCTCATCTATGTCTAGTTTTATATATATATTTTTTTTTTGTTTTTTACAAACTTTTATTTAACCTGCTCATCGCGCGGAAATTTCTAAAAGTCTAAGCTCAAGTTGAACTCAAAAATAAATATTTATTGGGCATGCTTTCATTTATTTTGTAGAAGATTAACTACATAAATGATTCAAAATTATTTAAAGATTTTAATAGACGTATTTGTGTTTTCGCTTCTGTTTTGCCAAAACGTAAAATAATACATATTTAGTGAAATTAAACTATTTTTAAAAACGCATATACAATTTTTATTGGTTTTCGCACGCAATTCATTCAACCTTCACAAAATGTTCTACTAGCTTGCTTTAGTTTATATTGCTGTTGTTGTTGTTGTTGTTGTTGTTTACCTGCGTGATTTTATTGAAAACATATTGTTGGGATCATTGACTATAGCCAGGGCCAAGTCATCTTGCAGCACAGTAGGTATCATATTGAAGAAGGAGTGCACACGCGGCAGCGACTGCGAACTGGCTGAATTTTTATTCATCATTTTGAATTTGTACTGTACGCAAGTAATTGTAGATTTTTAAATTAGAAATTGAGTTAACTTTTTTTTTGTGATTCAAATATTTCAGCGCTGTTTCAGCATTTTTTGAAATTCACTTAAAATTTGTTTTATATGTATATTTTTCACTTTGGTTTTATTATGTTTTCACAGTAATTTAATCTCGTAAAAAATTGTTCTTTTCAATTTCTTCTTATTTTTTCTTCTTTCTATACCCATTGTATGGTGTCGCGAATTATGTTACTTTTTTTCAATGTTGTAAGCTGCCGAAAATTTTGTGTTATTTCTTCAGTCAATCCTTTTCTACTTCTTTGTCTACTCCATTTGTTTCTGGCTTAAAAAATGCGGCAACGAATTGCTCATTTGAAAATCTTTCAAATAGAGTTTTGGCTATTTTGTATTTTATTTTATATTTTGAACTAAATTTTATTTTTTTATTATAGTAAATAAATAACTTTTTTTATATTGACTAACTTTCTTGTTTTTTTGTTGGCGAATTATTTGAGTATTAGACTAGTTTGGACTTATTATCTGTATTTGAAGTCGGGGTAATCACAGTAAGTTGTATTTAATATAAAACATTTTTTTTTTTATGTTTTCTTATTTTGGTATTCTTAGTTGTTTTTAAAGTGTAATTTGTGTAATAGTGTTTTTGCTTTGCCAGGCGTTAAACTTAGCTCAGGTAAATTTTCTTCGCGCCAGTTTCACGTTTTCTCATCTTCTTCACTAAAGTTTCCATCACTTTTCAAAATTTCGCTTGTTACAGTCACATTGCGTTGATTGTTTCTACCGAACTCCGCCACTCTGTACAGCATACTTTTGTGAAATTTGAGAAATTTTATTTTTTATTATTCCGTTTTTTTTTTTCAATGCAATTTCAATATTTTCATAGAATTCTCACAAGTTTTCTCACTGCCTTCAAGGCTTACGCAAACGTCCTTTGTTGGCGGTCTATCGGCTGCTATTGACTTGCTGCTCGCTACGCCGCGCCGCCCCACACGCGTATTCCATAAATATTTTCGCACTCTGTTGGTTAAATTTTTTTCTTGACTTTTATGATACGCAACACTTTTTTTTTATGAGCAAGAATTTTCATAAAAATTCTTTATTTCTATGTATAAGTTTTTTTTTTTTAGTGCTGCTCACAGCTGGAGCTCGCACGCTTCAATGACCTTTTTCCCACAGCGGCGAAAAAAATTTACAACTTTTTTATGAAATTTTTTCCGTTGTTTTTTTTTCTTGGCTTTTTTTGCGTTCTTATTTCCAATTTATGCGATTGTAATGTGATTGTTAGTTTTGCGTTTTGAAAATTCTAGCGGCGGCCATGCGGCCTCACTTTGACTCGCTGTAGCTAGCTAGCTGGCTGGCTGGGTGTTTGCGCGCCTTCACTAAAACGCACAGCGTCTCAACGTTTTTCCTACAAAACTGAAACTGAACAAAAAATTGTTTCCTGCGCGCTGTGAGTATGCTCCTCCACGGCGATCCGCAAATAAGCGCAAGCACAGACGAATCTGCATACATACTACTACAAATGTACATATTCGCTTTGTACGAGGCGCGTACATTTTTGCTTGGCTGCCAGCGGTCAAGCAGTGATGGCGGTGGTGGCGGTAGCGGCGTCGTCGACGTTGGCGCGGTGCGATTATTGACAAGTCACTGTCGGCGCACTTTTCTAGCAATAATTTTTCCTCATCACTCCTACATTGGTGTCTTCATTATTACCTATACTTGGCTTCATTATTATCTTCATGATACTCTTCGGACTGCTCTTCTTCATTTGACTTTGATGAATGTATATTGAGCATTAAGTTCATAATGATCTTCTCACTCGATTATGATCTTAAGTTAGGCAGCGAGGAGGCAGCATTAAGTGGCGGTAGCAGCACGAAAAGCAACTATGAAAAGTACCAATTCTCCAAATAAATGTATATATATATGAATATTTCGAGCAAAAGTTTATGCAACAAAATTTTTTATTGGGAAATACAAATTTGTATGCCGCTGTGATTCTTAATTTAGTTGTAGCGTCTTTCATCAAAATGTATGTATGTATGTATATATATTTTTACTGTTGTTGTTCTTGTGTAGTAACAGTACGTAGCGTTTCTATTACTTGCCGGCTGGAAATTAATTTATTACTATTATTTTTTCTATTTTTCCCCTTTTTGCCTCTCTCGAACTGTCACAGAAGGCGTTCGCCGCCGTTCTGCTCCATAGAGAGGGGCAAATCGCTTAGTTGCTGTGATTGCTCGTTTAAAGCGTATACGGTAAACACTTTATCTCCTGCTGCTGTTGTTGTTGTTTTTTTTTTTGGTGTGCGCGTAATCGATTTGTTGAGATTTTTACCCTTACCTACCATAATAATTAAACAAATAAATATACCGAATCGAGTTTTTTTCTTCTTATTTGGTTTTGCTAATTTAAATGTGCTTTTGTTTTTGTTGCACTGATTGTAAAATATGTAGATATCTTTAAATGTAGAGTGCAAGTATTCGATGTTTTTAATATTTTTTTTCTTAAACTTATCTTTATAAGCGTCGTTTGAGTGTGTGTTCTGGTATGAAAATTGAGATTCGTGATCTATTTCACGTATTTTAAATTTACATTAGGGTGCCTCACAAATATATTTCGAAATTTCTACCGGAAATCTAAAATATGTAATATTTAAAAACTGCCACGAAACAATTTCGGGAAAACATAAAGATTTACGTTGCTGGACCAATTTGAAAATGTCTCTAAAAGTAAAATTTTTTTGATCCCGTTAATTAATTTTTTTAAAATGTATATGCAGACTTTTTAAATTTCAACTCCTCTAACTCCTGAGGTGTTTTTTTTTGGCGGAAATAGTTTTAAAAACTAATTTTGTTTATAAAAAAGTCGTGAAAAAAAGTTCTGCAAAATTATGCCGAAAATAAAATTTTTCATAAAAGTCCAAACAGTTTAATGTTTGAAAAAATTTAACTGCTATTAGCACCTTTAAAATATTTCTAGAGTTATTGAAAGGAAAAAAAAAAATACTTATGCAAAATTACACAGAAAAAAATTTTCGAAAAAGTTTACAAAGTTTAATATGTGAAAAAATGAAAACCAAAACCGTTCTGAATAGATTTTCAATGGTAGGAAGGGTCAAACTTTTTTTTTGCATAATTTTGCTGAACTTTTTTTCTTTTCAGAAACTTCAGTTCTATTGAAAAGCTACTGTTTAACGCTTCTGGTTTAGCCTTTCCAAAGCCACATCCAACTCCAAAGCTTATTGGAATTACTTTACTCAGATTTGAAAACACAACTATTTACCTATCATGTTATCATAACACATTATCGCTTTAGTATTTTTCTTTAATACGTGTATGCTCTTGGCTTTATTGTATCATTAAAATCAATGTTACTTAATTAATTAAATTTTGTCACTTGCCATTTTATTGGAATTCGCAAAGCACTATACAAAAATATGTGAAAAACGCAGTACGTGTTTTCGCATTGTAGGCCAAATTAAACATTTTATGTGAATTAAATGCACACACGATGGCGACGGGTCGTTTGTATGAATTTACACTTGTAAGTAGAGCATATCAGTTTAGCATTGGTATGCAAAAACAACGACAGTGACGCTGCTGATGAGCAATGATTTTTTTTTTTTGATTGCACGTACATGCAGCTGTTTAATTAATGTCAAATTATTATACGATAACACGCATTAGGGATGTTCTTATATGTTGGAAAATTTCGAAATGTAGTTTATTTGTGCTTAAATGCCATGAGCTTAAATGGATAGTACATATCGATGGCTGAGTGGAAGATCGACTTATTTCGGCAGCCAGTTCGAAAACGCCTTGTCTCAGAAAACGCATTACTTCAGAATTTGATTGAAGGAATGCCCTATTTAAGAATTTTATTGAAAAACACGCTATATCAGGATTTGTTTAAAAAACGCCTTATCTCAGAATTCGGTTCAAAAACGCCGTATCTCATTAAAAAATCATTGAAAATCTACTGAGATAGGGCGTTTTTTTATATCTGAAAATCTATCTAGCATTGAAAATAAGTGTATCCTTAGTATATTTGATTACCGTGCATTATACATACAATATTCTATAACTATTTAAGCGGATATTTCTTTGTTGAAAAATGTTACTCATACGCGCTGTAGTGCATTGGAGTTAATAACGAAATATGTTGCTGTTTCATACATACGTATGGCCGTTAAAAGGTAATCGAAGAGGACTAAATTTCAATCGTTTCCCTAACTTCAATCAAGTTTAAATCTTTAACATGTTTTTGCATTTCAAACAGCTTTTTTTTAATTGTTCGGGACTTCATTAGTGGCGGCTCCCAGCAAGTATCTATTAAATAATTTCTCAGTCTTCACTGAGCTAACCGAGTTTGAGTATTAAGTAATTCCACAGAGACATTTAAGAAGTGATAAGTATAAAAACACACAGCTGACTTCGCTAATAAAATGTGGTATAAGGACTAGCCTATTAACACAAGTTCAATTAAATTTAAAGTGATCAAACAAAAAGATATAAATAAAAGCATTCCATCCAACGCGATAAAACCCCAAAATAACTAGTAGAGAATAAAAATCATGGCTGTGTTATAATCACCGGCGCTGTCTAGATTCCATATTTTTCAATCGGTTATCAATTTGTACTCTAAACATATAAGGTGGCGCAAAAGGCTGAACTCAACGCAGAGGCCCACGGAGTATCGACCAGATGAAACCAACCGAAATTCTGAGAGCTACATTTCCGGCTCACCTATCATCTAGTTTTGAAAATTTCCACTGGCTGGTAGGATCGCCCGATGCAACTACTCCAGACTTTTTTTTTTTAGAGTTTCAGGCATAAAAAACTAAGGCTACAAAAAACACAATCCAAAAGCAGAAGCAAAGTCATTATAATGCTTATGGCGCAATCAGTGTGTGAAATTCATTAAAAATTAATTATCGCTCAATATTCTTTTAAAAATTTTGCCAAAGTTAAAAAAGCACATCGTCAGCACTTCTTGGAATTTTACCACTTTAAATTTTTAAAATAGGTTTTTTTTTACCACAAATTCGATGTTATTGCAAGTACTTAACAGAGTCCAAGCGCTTATTACTTCTTGGTACATTTTGAAAGCACTTGTCTCATAAACAATTTTAATGAAAATTTCTTAAACTTATTTTCAGACAAAATTTTTCGTGGAAAAATATGCGCCAGCCATTTAGTGGCAGATCATTACTAGCTTGTCAATTATTATATTTAGTATGTAATAATGATTGTGTTGTTGAGCAAACGCATTAACAAAACTATTTTCCCACTATTACTGCAAATATTTCTTTTGACTTATTTGCTTCGTTTTGATTTTATTTTCGCTGTGCTTTCGTTGAAAATGAGAGTGAATTCCTGAGAATCGTTTGGATGTGCCTACAAAGATAGATATGTATGTACACACATATTTTGATGCCCGCAAAAATAATATTTTTTCTGAAAATTACGTATTCAGGCAAGTGATGCTTCCATAGAAAGTACGGCGGGGTGCATACTTGACAGAGAAAAATCACCAAAGTATCCAAATGGGGCCAAAAGACACTGTAGCGCAGAGAAGTGTTTTTAATGCCAATGTGTGTTCTATAAGTACGGTGACCATATTTATGGCCGCCGCTCATTCGATTTTTTTTTTACAAAAGCTAACCAATCTCAAAGCTTTATAGTTAAGCATGCCTATGTATTTAGTACATTAACCTTGAAATTTGTCCCAATTAAAGACAATTTTATTAACGTTTTGTAAGTTTATATTATACAATAAGGCCATTTTTTCCGTAATTCTCCATTTCAAAGGTTTTACATTTATTTCGCTATCTGTTCAAGTTCAAAATTTCATTGGCAATGCTGTGTGCCATGCAAAGAGCTGCTGCGGAAAAGAAATACAGAACATTTTTTGTCCTGTAAAAAAGTAAATTACAAGTGCAACTGCCTAAAAATGAGAACTCTGCGTCAAAATACAAGACAGATGGTCACCGCATATATAAGTATGTAGTATTTACTTATAAGTGAAAGTTAGTACAAAGTGTAAGCATGGAAAATGAAGGAGGTTACTTCTGCGAAATGACGCCAACAAATCATTGAAGCGAAAGCTTCGTGGAACTCCCGGTGGACCAGGCATCATGCCAATGCATCAGCGCGCATAATGGCGATGACCTCAATTTGGTTGTTTCACTTTTACTGCGGTTTTCACACGAATGCAGACTATTTTTGTTTTTATTGTTAGCGCATTTATTTAGATGTTTGTCTATTCGATTTTGCAGGAATTTCAGTCATAGATATTTGTTTATTTTTCCGCGTAATGCAATGCGTTGTTAACTGACGCGGCCATGATTTACGAGTTTGCAATAAAAACAAAATTTATCACACGCTAATACGAAGAAACATAGAATGAAGTTGCAACATATAAGCGTTGTTGGTAATAAATTACAATTTGTAGCACCCGAAAAGCGGCTATATATTTACCAGGCTAAGTATTTAGCGGTAA